CCCCCCCTCTATAAGAGGTGGCCCCACCCCTGCGGGCTGGAGTACGCGCTGGCCCCTGGGGCGGGGATACACCATGTCCTCTGTTCTGACACACAAGCCATCCATTGGGGTGAATTCAATTAAGCCTTGCCTCGTGTCTCTCTCTTCCTCTCCTTCTCTCTCTCCCTATCTCTCCCCCCCCCTTTTCTCTCATTACATCTGTGTACTTTTCCGCCGCTGTATGCAAGTCGCAGAGCAATAAGCGAGATTCAGCTGATCGAAGACCGTCAAAGATTCAGTGTGGGCAAATAAGCAACCCCACCACACTACACTATACAAAAAAATTACTTTAAAAACATGAAGCTGTTATTCAGTATATGCAGTATATATATATATGTCGTGCTTTCTTCTTAGAGAGAGAGACGAGAGGGGAATGACAGACGGATGGAGCAGGAAGGAAGAGAAGAAGGTTGTCGTCTTGTTGCTGCGGCTGGCCCGGATGGCGCAGGGCTGGGTGTGAGGGTGCGGTAGGGCAGGGCGGGGAGTGAGGCTCCTGCTCCTGGGGCTCCTCTACCGCTGTGGTCTGGATATTAAAACTCGTACCCTGCCTCCCTCCCTCCCTCAGTCTCAGAGAGAGGAATTAAAACCCCAGCGCGGTGCAAGAATAAGGTAAGGGCGACACGACACAGCGGCGTCGCCTCGCGCGGGTGGAAAAGTGGGAACGCGCTTTAGGATCCGCGGCGCGGTTATTTGAATAATGTTTCACTTCTCTCCCCTCTCTCCTTCGCCCCACGCGCTGTCCCGCTGTTGTCCCAGGTAGGCCAACCTGTATCCCTTTCTCAGTCCCGGGTTTGGGCGGTTGGCAGCTCCTGCTGTTTGATAACGGACTGTTGGCTACACTGCGAGACTAATGACCGCTCGCGGTGGGGTCCCTCTCCCTCTCTCCTCTCTCTCCCTCTCTCCTCTCCCTCCCTCCCTCTCTCACTCTCGCTGCTCGGCCGCCGTGAGGGTGAAAGGTGGGGGGGGGGGGGAGAGGTAGGCATTGGCCGGCATCCAGCAGGCCCCAAAACCGCCCCCGAAAGAGAAGGCGGGCGAAAGCTTCTTTGAGTTGGGCCGGGTTGTGGTCCTACCCTCCGTCCCCACCCCGCTCTCCCCTCGCCCGGATACGGGGA